TTCCATGCAGTTCCTACTGATTCAGGGAACGCCGCTCCTCAATGCAGCTCACATGAGAGCATCTGTGTAGGCGCATCAAGCGAACAATCGGCATCGTTTCCTCGCAGAAACATCGGTTTGTGATAACAGAAACAGCCCACAGTACGGAAATGATGCCCACAAGATCGAGATATCCCATTAACTCCACTGTAGGATAGCAGGGACCCCGCCCTATACACTGTATGTTTGGTTGGCTGTTTGGTCCCAGAGACAAGAAAGCTCAATTGGAGCGAGCCTTACCAGGCTGAGTCCGCGAGGCAGCCGAAGATGGCTTGGGGGGGTTAGGGTAAATTCTCATTCTAAAGGGAGCACCCAAACAAGAAGGGTGAATTGGGGACCCTGGCATGTTAAGGGATGGAATCGTCACAGCAACAAGAGCAGCATGACCACAACATTCCTAGCGATAAGAGACATCCGACTTCCCCATCGTAATGACGAGCGCCATGTTCGAATTGGCTACCTCAGAGTGTTGCCTCTTTGTCGGCATCTTCACTGTCACCACCATGATTCATACTGTCGTCATAATCATCATTATCGCGACCCCAACACGAGTTCAACCACTATCATCATGAATGTCACCCTCATCGCCATCAACCGCATGCCAGTCGTCATCAAGGTCGCTGCTATTCTGAATGTAATCTCCATGACCATCCTACTCATTAGCACCACAGTTACCCCTTAAGCCGAATCAAGTCGGGAACCAGCTAGAGGACAACGACCAGTGATTGGATCACGACAGGACAACGAAATTCTGGACAATGTGCCTGCGAGCAACAACACGAAAGAAGCAAAACAAACACAACAACTCGATGATGTTGAGGCTAACACCTACTGTAACTAAGCCAACAGGGCATCGTGTTCAAATTAGAATAGGATTCTGGCGCATGTTGAACAATACAAACAAGGATTAAAGAAAGACACTATGATAAAACTTTCCGACCCACCTCCACTCTTGTCCTCCAACCCTCATGCAGCCAAGCATACCACGGAACGAAACAAATCACAAACCGCGATGCTTTCGAGTGTAGTGTTTAGGGCGTAAAGCCTGCAAGTGCCCGTCGGCAACTTGTGTAAAACATGGAGACCCATATTCCCTGCGCGATTGTCCGATAATACTACACTCACCCAAACCCTAAACCCTGAATACACCCTAAATACACCCTAAACCCTGAACCCAAACCCTAAACCCCAAACCCCAAGTATTCACGATCTCTGTATTGCGGAGCCCAAGCCCGAAACTGAAGCTCCCAGATCCGCAATGCACCGGCCTTATTCCTATGGTAAAACCATATCAAAACGATAATTCTGCATGATTACTAAAAACTCGGGCTCTGTAGTTCAGCACATTCTGAGCCAACTTCAGCAATCTGAAAGCCGAGAAGTGTAGCGCATACCCCTGAATCGCCCCTGAACCCGTTCCCCAATTACTGTGAGCTACCGCTTCCAAATTGGAAAAAAAAACCCTCATCAAAAGCCACGCTGTGAGAACAATCCCTGAACCTAGACCCGAAACTCCTAACTAAACCCCTAAACTCTACATCTCTGACCCACCAAACCCCACACCAAAATCCTGAACCCAAATATTGTGCGCCTTGGACACGTAGCCGGGCCGAAGCCTGCTGATGCCTGAGGACTTCGGGAGGGCAGAATTCTTACGGTCTACGTGGGGGTTTCCCACAGGCGACCCAAATATAGTACCCTAAACAATAGGATCCATATTATAAGGACCCCCCAAAAAAGTACCCCTAATTTTCGGAAAGTCCCACGTGGGTTCTCTTTACTTTAAAGGTACCAAAGGGTCTAGAGCTTAGAGTTCACGTAGCATTTCAGGGTTTCAGGATTTTACCTACAAGTTACAGTGTCCATTCTCTCTAAGGGCAATCCAGGGTTTGAAGCTGAGAGTTTAGGATTTCGCTGCTTACCCATGAGTCTCAAATTGTATTTCCATTCGCAAGCCGCATAGCCGTCTCTTAGCAGGAACCTCATCAGCGGGCACATACATGAATTCGTCTGGACCAAGGCACCCTTCAAAAAACCCAGTAACTCTAACCCTCAAACCTTTAACCCTAATTCCTAAACCCAACCCCAAATGCTAAAGCCCTAAAGCGACACCGGGCAGTCTTTTTGAAAAGAGCGCATGCGGGACCCATATCTGCCGCGAAAGCGTGTTCAGAAGCGGTTCGCTTCTGCGAGCGATAATGCCCTCATCGACGAGCGCTCGTCGGTACGGGCAGCTCGAATTTCTCTGGATCCATCAATACAGCCCTGACCCACAAATGCCGAACTCCTCAACCCCAAACCGAAACCGCAAGACCTTAAAAAGGCACTGAAGCTCGAAGACATGGCTCGGGCTGCGACTACTAGTTGGAATACATTTTGTTTTTTTTTGAAGGGGGGGTGTTATACTCTCTGTCTACCGATTGCACGGCTGTAGGATCCGAGGACTGAGAACTTGCGGCTTCGAGCTCGGATCTTTGTCCAAGCTCACGACAAATGATTCAGATGATTGAAAACTCCCAACCGTGAAACCCAGTTGGGGGTCTAGCTTAATCTGGAGCTCCAACAACCTAGGACCTAGGACCTAAACTGCACGAGCTTCAGCCCTAAAGCCTCATTCCCTGGCCCGCTGAGAGCTGTAAAGGAACATGGGCCGTCAGTTCAACAATCCGAACCTCAAGCAGCTCTGCAGCCTACACAGATGAACTGACACCCGCAACCATTGAATCAAAACCCCTGAAAGACACGCGTAAGCTGCTACAGTATACGGCTCCAGGATCTAGAGCAGGACCTCCGAAACCTTCACTTTTGCAAGTTTAAATTGGCCTGACGGACAGGCAGAGCTGCGATTAGGTATCCGGGATAGATCGGGGGTCTTTCCGCAGTTCGATTGCAATACATCTCGGCCCTGTGAAACACGTGAGTTCCATAATGACTCCGTCTTCCAAATGAGACACTTGCGTTGAGAACCTGTTGTTGACATTTCGACACCAGCTGTGAGCACATCTTCTTAAAATCCAAGCCAGCATGCTTTTTGGGATACTAGACTGCAGCCCCCGATGCGTCAGATCCTTCGCGCTCGGTGGGACAGCAATCAAATGGTGCTATCTCCATAGTTGGTAGCGGAGTGGCTAAAGCCCCGATGAAAATGCTAACGGGAGACATTGCAGCAGCAAGCACAGGATGCGGGGCTTCATCTGCGAATCCGAAGTAAGACCCTCACGACTGAACCCCAAGGCCATAGCTTAAGGTCTGGGGGCTGGGGGCTCTGAACACTGTTTCGGTTTAGGAAGCGACAGGCCGTGCAACTTCTTCTCTTTCGAGACTGGAAGTGACAGCCAAATCTCGGTGCCCGAAATACAAATGCTTAGGCCCTTTCGTTCAACAGATTTCGATTCTCCGGGAGTTCCGTCGACAAGTCGGTCCTGCTTAAGTGGGGTGATAACTGCAATGGTTCTCCGTAAGCAACATCATGATATTCTCGTTAGCTTCCCTTCAGCATGTTTATGCTTCGCAGCATCTGCTGTGGCACTACTACTACTACTACTACTACTACTACTACTACTACTACTACTACTACTGCTACTACTACTACTGCTCCTACTGCTCCTACTGCTACTACTACTGCTACTACTACTACTGCTGCTCATACTGCTCCTACTGCTACAGCTACTGCTACTAGTACTACGACGACTACTACTTTTTTTCCTACAGCTGCGCCCTGACCAGGCATTAGTTTGAAACCTGGACCCCAAAAACACAGACGCAACGCACTGAATCCTATACCTGTAACCGTCAGCCGCAACACTGAGCCAAAGTTCGTAAACCCAACCACTCGAAAGTCTGAATCCTAAAGCAACGGCCCAGAATCCTAAAGGCAACATTCCAAAACCTACAGGCAGACCCGAAATCCTAAATCCGAAAGCCTGAGTTCTATGTAAGCCAAAAACCTGAGCCCAGCATCCTACATCCTAAGCCTAAGTGAATCCTGAAGCCCAAAGCAAAAAATCCTAAGCTGCAGCCTCAAACCAAAATCCCATCTCCTAAACCCCAAAACCCTATTGAGGGTTTCTTCCGCAACATCTCCCAGACCGGCGGCTTGGAGGCTTTTGGTTCGTCCTCCTGGGGACATCCGAAATCCGCTGCTGGCGCACACACGCAACCGGCCACTTAAAACCCGAGGTTGAGAAGTCTTGAGCCCGAAGCCCTGCTAGTGCCCATGAATATACAGGGTGGTAAGAGCCCTCGGACTGACTGCAGGCTTCCACCAACTAGTGTCGAAGGTGGCGTGCCCTCTGACACATCCGTTTCGAAGTACTCCATCATCGAATGATGAGCATAAGTAGTGCGAGCACTGCCGTCTGTCGGGTGTCTTTGCTCGGTTGTTGGCCTTTGGCATGCAGGGTGTACTGACCCTCCCTGCGCTGCAGCTGTAACTTTGAACTTGAGTGCTGATCTTCGTGTGAAGACAACTTCCCGATTCAACTTGCTAGCTCAAAGGTCATGGTGATAGACGACCAACAATTCTCTGGGGATCCCAAACCCAAGGTTGCTTGTCCAGCTACCGACAGTATGTCAGCCTAGCCTTGAGGGCTAAATCTTGCGATTGTAATGTGCCCGAGAAGGCTCTGTCAAGGGTTGTTTCACAACTACGAGTCGCAGACCAGTAGCAGCTCACGGGCGCCAGCAAGCAAGCAACATCCCCGGAGCCCCACAACTCGGACCCCACTACAAAGGGCCTGATTCCTGTAATCCTTTCAAAGGAAATTAAGAGGACCCTGACAGTGAAAAAACACGGCGGCTATGCAATTAGAACCCTGGCTTTGTTCAATATGCGTCCATCCTGAAGTCCTGAAGGCTAACCCCAAGACCCGTGGTGTAACAGTGGTCCTCTTAATCTTCCCTAGATCCTCGAAATCTACTGTCTCAGGATCGCTTGGTCCAGGATCTGCTCATCATCGCGCTCAGAACGCTTCCGAGCTTGATGGCATCTGCGGCTTGAACTGGGTCCGGGCTAGGCATTGGAGCGAATACTCTCGCATTTTCCGAAACTCACAATGGGGCCCGGGCTTCGGGTTCAAAATTCTCGAGTCTCAATGGTTTGAGCTTGCAGTTTGAAGCTTCCAACATTGAAAGCTATCAGAACCCCAAACCCTACACTTCGCAGAATTGGCAGTTGTTCTTGACTCACCACCGGAACTCGATGGGGCCCCAAGAATGCAGTACGGAATTTGTGATTTAGGGTGCGGTTTCCAGGCCAACCACTGAGCTTTAAGGACTAGCATCGCACCATGCTGTCAACTCACAGGACCAAGCTCGAGACTGAAAAACCTAAGTCGGTTCTTTAGACCAAAGTCCTTCCCCTCGAAGCCCGAAGCCGATAACGTGAACGAACACACACACGTTTATATATATATATATATACATATATATATATACATATATACGTAAATGCATATGTATATGTGTATGTATATGTATAAGCATATATGTATGATGTATGTATGTATGTATATATATATAGATACATATGTATATATATATATATATACATATATATATATATACACATGTACAGGTACACATACGCACACACATGCACATAAGCATGTGAAACATACACTAGGCATGTTTAGGCGTCCATTTGTGTATCCATCTAATTATGCACTCCTTTATCCATTATAGAGCATAACGAAACCTTGTAGCCCTCTGAACTCGAGGAATCAACCCGTCAAGATAACACAAGCCTTACACCCTAAACCGATGATTTCAGGGGTCCAGGCTTTACACGGATTTAAGATGCAGGCCTCAGGGCTTAAATGTTTATGGTTTGGGAAAATTAGGATCCCACCATATAGGGTTTCTTGATGTCTGCAGCTCACCCATAAGATTTGGGGGTTGCAGTGCCAAGAATTGCTTAGGTGACTGCTTCTACCGCTCTTGCATCAATGCGCTACCGTTTAAGAGTTCTCGCCCTTCGTATACTTATAGATACCTTTGGTATGCTGTGTAGCTGTATGTGGGACCTCCTGTTTCCTTTTTAGGGTCTCGGGTTCAGGATTTGGGAACGGGGTGCTTTCGGGTTTAAATTAAAGGACTCCCAACTTGTGGCAGCTAAGCTGGGATGCGGTAACTCTGTAAGTTGTCCTTCTCAACTGCAACACTCCACGGACCAGTGCTTGCTGAAGCAAGAGGGACGATCATGCAGAACAAAGCCGCCAGGGCGCCTCCTCGCAGAAGAGGAAGGCCATCAAGGCCTGGAAAAGCTGAAGTTTCAGGTTTGGGGTTTAGGGATGGGGCTGAGGGTCTGGGGCTTGCGGTGATTATTGAAGAGAGAGTCAGTGGGATGCCTCTGGCAATTAGAAGAGTCGGGGTATTGCTTGCCGTAAGGCTGTAAGACAATAGCCGAGATAACAAGGTGTGGCAGTAACGGTCATGACGGAACCGAAGCAACAATAAGTGGCAAGAACTTGGCCGAATTCAGAGTCAAGTTGATGCAAGACATGGAAACCTTCCTGCAACCTTTAAGACCCCTGAGCTGTAAACCCCACTATCAAAGACTACATTAGTGACAAGATTCCTTAAATCCGCCTCGGCCCGGCCGAGCGTCCAGCAGAGGTTCCCCTACGGAAGTCCTTCCACTCCCCCACTCATTTGCTCCACCCCCGCTCGTCTCACCCCTTCCCGATCCTGCGGCCCTACTTTTGCAGTTTTGCGTTCGCATGGCTCAAGATGTTTCTGTCCCAAAGGACCCAATAAATAGTCACTTAAAGTTAAGATGGTAGCATTGTCGATCAGACTGTGCGGCAGTATGCTATGAGGCACTTGGACCTGTAGGGTTTCGGAAACCTCTGTGTAATGGTCGGGAAGATGAGACGTGGAGAACGGGTCCAGATGAGAACTGCGAAGTAACACGGATGAGGAGCATTTTCTTACCATAACCATAACATACTGATGACAACCACGTCAACACTACAGATATGGTCCATGAATGTGTTTACAATGAGTGTGCGTGGAGGGCAAGGGCTTCTGCTGTGCAGGAGCCTCCTTCCTCCGTTGCTTGGCCTGCGAAAGGAGAGCACTGTGACACGTGCATCAGCCCCGAGCATGCTTGAAGAATTCTGATGCAGATTCTACTCGACAACTCGTAACTAGCATGGGCACGTTCGCATTGCTTGCTTGTCTCAGCTGCAGCTGCAGCTGCTGCTGCTGCTGCTGCTAATGACTGCTCTGCTACTGCACCTGCACCTCCTCCTGCTCCTCCTCACTGCTGCTGCTTCACTACTGCTACTGCTACTGCTCCAGATAGTGCTGCGCTCATGCTGCTGCTGCTCCTCCGCTCCTCCTGCTGCCGCTGCCTCTTCCTCTGCCTCTGCCGCTGAAACTGCCACTGCCACCACCACTGCGAGCTACTGCTACTGCTGCTTACTAGTACTGCTGCTGCCACTCCCACTTGCACTGGCACTAGCACTCACACCAGCACCAGCACCAGCACTGCCACAACCACAACGACCACCACCACCACCAGCACTACTACTTCTACTACTACTACTACTACTACTACTACTACGACGACTACTACTACTACTACTACTATATACTACTACTACTACTACTACTACTACTACTACTACTACTACTACTACTACTACTACTACTACTACTACTACTACTACTACTACTGTACTGTACTGTACGGTACGGTACGGTACTGTACTGTACTGTACTGTACTATACTATACTATACCTACTACTACTACTACTACTACTACTACTACTACTACTACTACTACTACTACTACTACTACTATTACTACTACTACTGCTGCTGCTACTACTACTACTACTGCTACTACGACTACGACTACGACTACGGACCCTACTGCTACTGCTACTGCCACTGCTACCGCCACCGCAACCTATTGCTGCTGCTGCTGCTACTACTACTACTACTACTACTACTACTACTACTACTACTACTGCTACTGCTCCTGTTCCTGCTAGTGCTAGTGCTAGTGCTACTGCTACTACTACTCCGTAATACTTATTACCGTCTGCTTACTACTTATGACTTACTACGTACTACTTCTGCTGCTACTAGTACTAGTACAGTATTAGTACTAGTACTGCTACTGCCACTGCCACTGCCACTGCCCCTGCCGCTGCCACTGCCACTGCCACGGCCACTGCCACGGCCACTGCCACGGCGACTGCTACTGCTGCTGCTGGCTGCTGGCTGCTGGCTGCTGGCTGCTGGCTGCTGGCTGCTGGCTGCTGGCTGCTGGCTGCTGCTGCTACTGCTACTGCTACTGCTGCTGCTACTGCTACTGCTACTGCTACTGCTACTGCTGCTGCTACTGCTAGTACTACTCTTTCCTCTTCTACGACGGCGACTACTAGTTGCTACTAATTTCTCTTGCTGCTGCTAATATCTTCATGGAATCATATTGCAAATCGCTCTCGGTGGCTTTGTCTCGTTTGTCGCCTGGGCTTCGGGGATCCAATTTGCATGAGACCCTTTTGGGGCATTAGGGTGTCCAGGGCATGATGATGAAAGCAGAGCTTTAATCATCATGCCCTGAACGAAAGATTCTGCACATGCACAGACAAAGAAATCGGAGGGGCATTATCACAATTGCACAAGCGTGAAGAGTGCTATCCTGGTCTGGCACATGATCAGACCTTCTAGACACAAGAGCATCCTTCTGAAGCCCTGAACCCTGCAACCCTAAAGTAGGGCGTTGGATTTGGGGTTACGGATTTAGGGTCTCGGGTTTAAATTAAAGGACTCCCAACTTGTGGCCGAAGTTGATGCAAGACATGGAAACCTTCCTGAAACCTTGAGCCTGTAAGACCCCAACCCTGAGCTGTAAACCCCGCTATCAAAGACTGCATTAATGACAACATTCCTTAAATCCGCCTCGGCCCGGCCGAGCGTCCAGCGGAGGTTCCCCTACGGGAGTCCTTCCACTCCCCCCACTGACTTGCTTAAACGAACGCAACGTGTGGCACTGACGACCCTACCTGTAGCTCCCCATGAACCTCTAAGTATATGGTTTTGGCTGTTGGTAACTGGCCAAGGCCACGATGTAGGCCGCTACGGGGATGTGAGGAGGTTCCAAGGATTCTTCCTTGCAACTCTGCACTCAGAAGCCCGTGCAGCCATCATTGGGACATCCTCCCAAGGAACACAACAGCGTAACAACGGCACGGTTTTCCGGCATCTGGAATCATCTTGAATGTGCAGTGGTAGTCAATGAACTGAGTTCCAGGGCGCGCAACTCTAAACAAGCCAAAAAACCCTTAGAGTACACCCTAGAATCATTTCAGCAACCCTCTAAACCCTAAACCCCAACAACCCCGAAGCCCTTCGAGTACACCATAGAATCATTACATCAACCCCCGAAACCCTGTACACCAACACCCCCGACGCCCTTCGAGTATACCCTAGAATCATTACTAACCCCCGAAACCCTGTACCCCAAAACCCCCTAAACCCTTAGAGAACACCCTAGAATTATTGCAAGCAACCCTTGATAGATTACACCCCGAAGTACCCCCGGGCATCGCGCGTGGAATCCACCCCAAAATGGCGCCTGGCTCGAGGTCTTCGGCACGAACTCCGTGGCCGCCACAGGAAGGCCGGACCTTTTTCCAGCGGAGACGTCTTCGGTCTTTTTTTCTGAAAGTTTGAGAGGAGTTTGGGGGGAGTTTCACGGGAGTTTGAAGGACTTTTCGGTGAGTGGAGGGGGAGTTTGAGGGTTCAGTAGAGACTTTGGGGCGTTTTGGGGTCTAGGGTTCTAGAACAGGAACAGTGTTATCAGGGTGCTATATATAGGGGTCCTATAATTGGGGGCTTGAGGTTCCATGTACAACGTTGCCACAGGGGTCTATGAGGGTCCGGTCCTACAGTTGGGGATTTCGGGGCGTTGCTGCAGGACAGAATTTCGGGCTGCAGGTTTCTACTGTCAGGGGTTATAGGGTTTAGGATGGTTTAGGGCTTTGGGGCCGAAGGGTTTATGAGCATGTTTTTGCCTTAGTTATGATTGTCCTGTAAAGGCTTCTAAAGGTTTCATAGGGGCATATCGGGGCATTAAACTTCATTTCGGGTTGCGTCAGGATCTTGTCAAGCTTAAGCTAACAATCTGGCGTTGATGAAAGTTTAGGGTTGCCACTGTTTTCAACAGGTTTAGTTGCGCTGCGGCAGGACTGTCTAGGCCATGGAGAAGCTGATGAAACTTGTAGCTGCCTCTGAAGGGTAGACAATGTAGCTTTACCGTGTCCTATGGCATCTTCTCGGTACAGGAAGGAGACTAGGCAGGGCCTGCTTAAGGTTTACAAGGGTTGCTCCAAATTCGGGTAGCATTCTGAGGTATGTATTTTGAGGTATGTATTTTCAGTTAGCCCTTGAGTCGACAGCCTTTCTCCCTCAACGCCCTACACCCAAACATCCGAAAGCCGCAAGCTCACAAGCGCTCTAAACCCGAGCAGACCTTGAGCCCTGCGGCCCTTCGGATAGAAGAAGCCCTTTAAGCGGCTGAGGACCCGACGTCTTGGCTTGGACCTACCCGCTTCTTGAACATTCGTGGGTTGAGGCTGAGGGATGAGCAGGATTTACGATTTGGCCCTGGACTCAACACTCCGACTCCGACCTTCGGTTTCATGACTGGGGATGTTGCGATTCAGGCTTCGACCATGGGAGAGGCTACTGCAATCCCAGACCTTCAAAGAGAACCTTAAGCCCCCACCCGCAAGCCATGTGTAGCATGTATACAGCCGTACTTGTCCAGCTTCCTAGGGCCTAGGGAAACTAAAGGACAACCTTTCGGATCATGTTTGAATTGTATGTAGTACCCCAAACAGGTTCAAGGATATCTTTTTATTCTACTACAGAATAAGTCCACACCAACATTCTGAATCAACTCGAGACCCTCAGCCCTGAAGCCTGTGTTGGAACCAACACTCAGCCCCCGATGTTCCAGGGTTGCGGACCGGGCTGCAGGCGTAATTCTTGTAGGACTTTAGGGTTTATAGCTTCGGCTATCATTGTGCGGGATTACAGGTGTGGGCACAGGGTGCAAGAAAACGGGTGTAAACAGAGCAGCCCTGCCATATATCTCGGATAGTGGTAGGGTACTACTCGGAAAAATTGAAATCTACAGATACGGCTCAGGGCTGGGGGGACGGGAGTCAAGCCGCTCTACGGGACCCGAAAGAGCCGTTTCAAGAACAACAACCTAACTCCGGTGAAACTCTCCAACACCTGCCTCAGGCAAGAAGGAACTTCCATGCTGCCTTGTTCTGGCGCGTGCAACGAATGCATGTCGGAGGGATGTGAGGCTTCGATGAAGATTTCATAAAGGTGTCTTTAAGGTTTGGAGCCTGGAATTTATGTTTACTACCCTCCCCCAGCCCAGTCTTGTGAAGTCTTCTGTATCCAGGCTCGAAGCACTTGGGGTCAAGCCACGGTGTCGGATCCAGGTTTAGGTTTAGGATATCCTTAGCCTCCAACACCTCAGCACCTCAAGGGAACCCTTCTCGCGTCCGTAACGGCCCTACACAGCCGAGACCAAAGTCTTTGGGGCTCCGGGCTTGCTTTTGCTCTCTTCGAGCATCTTCTGGGGATCGTTGGACACGCTGTTCACACCTCAAGGGGTCGGAGTTTTGAAATGTGTCGTTAAGGACAGAGGGACATGCGGGGCTTCTTGAAACGAGAGGCATAATCTATTCAGAGTCTCTGATAGCTAATGGCTCTCATGAGGCTCCTGCTATCTTGAGTGTAGGACAGTAGCACATGAGAGTCCCTTGATTTCTCAAACTCCAAGATCGCTGGAATGTTACAAGGTCATGTATGCTTGTTACTGTGGGACACCATCGATTCTGGGCTCATCAGGGCTGAGTGTTTGTAAAGTGATGTCCACTTCCTCGGATCAGCCGCGTTCGTCTGGATTGGTATTTGTGCAACCGGTCGAGGATGGCTTGTGGCAAAGCGGCTTTGAGCCTTTGAGTCCATATGATGCTTGGGGAAAATCTGTGTCTCCAGCGGGTGCAGATGCGGCCATGAAGCCGCAGTCAATCCTGGGTATTTCAAGAAACTGGATGCCACGACAACCTGGGGCTTTGGCTGGTGATTCTGTCGCCCACGCGGACGACGCGACTTGCACTGCTCGCCTTCTGTGGCTGCAGGGTCTCAGGGGGCTTCTGCTTGAGGCTACAAGTACGGTCGCGTCAGGGCCTTTAGGGCCTTGTCTTGGGCCCGACAAGGGTTCAGAGTAGTAGGGTTCAAGGTTCGGACCGGGTCTGGGAGTTGATGGTGTAGGTACAAGGGTGTAGGGTCGAGTGGGACGACAATCACTTTGCGAATGATCTGGCGCTTGGCCTCTGGACTTCTGGTGCCCCAGGCCCGGTTGGCAGTGCCCTCGGACTTGCTCTTGCTCCCGGCCGACCATGTCGAGTTCCCTGCCCGTCTTTTCGTGGCCACTGCGCCAGGCCTGCCACTTTCCTGTTGTTTTTTGCCCTGCCCTGCATCCGCTTTGCTCGCGCGGGCCACTCGCATGGTCGACTCCGCACGTGAAAATCCTGCGGGTCATTTCCGTGTTCCGGATGTCGGTTGTCGCCTGTGCCCCCTCGTAGCTTCTGTGTTGCCTGTACAGCCGCCTCACTTAATTAGAATTTCCGAAGTGCCCTGGACTGAGGATATACCTTGGGCTTCGGAGCTGTCCCAACCTTCCTTTTCGATGTACAGCCTCACATGTTTTTTTCATGGAGTTCAGCTTGGCGCGAAGCGAAGTAGAGGGGGCCAATGCAAGGGCCTCGTTCCTTCACTCGAAGACCACAAACGCTCAATCTTCAAACCCCTACCGCTACCATCTACCTGCGACAGTCTCAGCCCAGGAAGCCTACCTAAACTTTAGACCCCACACGCAACATTGTAACACCGATGATCCGAAACCCTCCTGCGCCCCTAAAGCTGAGAATTCTCCAAGGGCCCGGCGCATTGCCTGCCAAGGGCAACAACGGCAAGAAAATCTAGGGTTCGCTGTCGAAGCCATTCGTGCCGGGTTAGGGGTGTGTAGGGTCTCCTGAGCCCTTCGGAGAGGTCCATGGGATGTTTACATTCGTCGGGCTCCGAGGATCTCGCATGTTTCGGGTTTGGAACGTTTGATGGGGTTGCTTGAATATGGCGTTTAAAGTTCAATCTGTTTCACTGCTAAAGACATCATTGCGGATACTTGTAGCAGTGAGGACAATCGGTCTCAGAGTTTTGTGCTGTGGCATCCACAGACTGGGCAAACGGTGTCGGCTCTGTGGCCGGTTGCCGGAAGGGCATCGTGATGGCTGAGGCTAAGGGCGGCACATGACACTTGGCACACGAAGCTTCAAACCTCATCCCAGCTCCAAGATTTGGCAAGTGACAAGCCTGAAAACCCTCCAAAGCCTTCCTAAACGCCTCCGAAATCTCAGCACGGCCTGTTGCAGGCTTCGACGGCACCATCAGGGAGGATGCCCTCCACCAGAAGCGCCTATCCAGTTTAGGCTTTCGGTATGGGGCTTTGTGATCTATGCAGGATTTATTGTTGTATGCTTCGCGGTTCGGATTGCTCCGAGGTGCTTTACTATAAAGCAATACGCCCTACACCTTCGAACCTTCGATGCAAAGGCTCACGGCACGGGTTCGAGCTCGGGAAAAGCACTGTTGCGACAGCAGCTCACTGAAACCTTGGATGTCTGCGTGTGGACAAGTCGGGCTTGACGCTCCACGGCTTGGAGCCTGACCGTGCGCTAGAGACTTTGACCGATCTCAGCCTGGAGCCTACCGGACCTTTCAACGAAAGAGATCACGCCAGGTGTTGCAAATCAGACTGCGCAGGGGATGAATATACATGTCGGTAGTTCTCCAAATTAGGGTCCCTTTTTAGGAACCCCCTCACTTAGAGAACTACCCATAATATGCGCATGTGTAGAGCCAAAGCGAAAGCGAGCGAGAGGTCGGCGCTGCGTCGACCGCTCACCCTTAAAGTAGGGATCATAGTACCCTACACACCCTATAAACTCCCTAAACCCTCAACCCTAAAATAGGACCGAATAGGAATCATCTTCGGCTCTTGCGCGCTCCCGGCGTCAGGTCGACGCTTGCTTAAGAGGATAACTTCTCGTCAGCTCGTATGATGGGGGACGAAAACCATGTCCACAGACGCCACATCGCAAAAATCGTCGGTGTGAAATCGAATTTAAAACGACTGCTCTTCTCATCAAACCCAAAAGCCCTGATAAAAGCAGTGTACCGAATACCTCCTTTCATGCGATTTGAAGTAAAGCCCCTGCTTGGGGAAGAAGCCCACGCTCGGCAGCGCCTTCTCCACTGGCCTCACGTTCCAGCCCAGCTCCTGAGCTCGGCGAGAAAGCTGCAGACGTTTAGGATTGAAGTGGAAAAGGGGGAAGGTGACGGATTCAAGGCTTGGGGCTGCAACGTACTTTGCAGGCGCCCGCATGGCCGGATACAGCATGGGAGGCCTGAAAGCGGCAAAGGAAGCGGTCGACGGCCAAATCTCCCTTGAGCCGGAAAAGCAGGGGGGGAAATTGTTGAGCCTGCACGCGGATTGAAAACAAACGCACCTCTCGAATGAAGATGAAGAGGATAAAGGCCCGAGGCAGCACGCAAGGAAACACAAGGGCAAAATGGCATTGAACGAACAACAGCACCGAAGAAGCGCATGAAACAAGCGAGGCGGATCGGCACGTCGAAGGCGGAAGGCTTTCCAAGCCAAAACGAGGTATCACGACGATGCGGTAGCACATCCGAACTTCACTATTGAGCACTGTCGCGCTTAAGCACCTGTGAAACGTGAAAGCCGCGGTTTGCGCTTAGAGCAAACCCTCGATGCCAAATTTGCAACAACCTCAATTGCGGCACCGATAACCCTTCGTACTAAGCCTGGGGGTTGCCTAAAACCCTAAGTTTCCTTGAAGCCTGCAGGCCGAACCCTTGTAAACCCTATACACTCCAAGGGCCTAAGGCCCAAGGCCCTCGAGTCCCAAACCTCAGCCCCCGTGCAGCCTCTGCCTATTGCAGGCGCAACTTGACCCTCCACGGGTGACACGCCTGCTTCTAATCCGTCACAGAAGAAACCGAGAATACACACAGGCTCCGAACTTAAATCCAAAGCCCAGGCCTGGGCACAAAGCAAGACAAAGCCTGTACTGAAACTCCTACAACCTGACATCATCTACACTTTATTGACCGAACAAGCTGAAGCCTGTAGACCTGGAAGCTCGGGTTGAGGAGTGCCACAATCCCGTCTGCAGTGACGCCTGACGTCCTGAAAGCCCTCAACCTGCCTCCACGTTGTAACCCGAGTCCTGCACTGCACCCTAAACTGCAACCCTATAATGACATCCTCGGTAGCACCCAATATTTAGAGAAAGCTGCGGCGTCATCTGCTTTGCGCAGGGTGGTTGAGAAGACCTGCCCAGCTCTAGGGGATAAGCATCGAGCCCTCAAGCAGGGAACTTTGCGTCTAGGGGTTTAGGCTTAAGGCCTTATAGGATCGTAGGCAGCTTGTCATTGGGCCGAAAATAAAGGTTATCCGTGGAATGCTACTGCTACCGAGCATCTCCAAATGTGCGAGGTACGTGGGGTTTGAGGAAGGTCGGGTTCAGGGTCGATGATCTCGGGTATGGGTGCCCTGTTCTTGTCTTCACCACAGAAGGTAAAGCACCAACCCGTGCAAATGTCTGTGGGCTGTGCGACTCCGCGCTAAATGATCTAAGTCGACATCAAGAAGGTCACAGGAACAACAAGAACAACCCAAAAAAAGAGCAGTACTATCGGCACTATCACTTAAAAATAACAATCAAAACAAGTCAGCAACCTCATGTGCCAGAAGAGCAGGTTTGGCACCGAAAGCAACAGCCCCTTGCGGAGACTGTACTGTAGTTTCAGGCATAGAGACAGCCACGAGAGCTCCGAATCGAATTGCCCAGTACCACCAGCCCTATGCCGAGAGACTTGGGAACAGGGGACCTTCGTTTAGAGAACCACACAGATACGGTTGATGATATGAATCCTGCACTACCCATAATCAGGAATATACAATAATTCCCATAGTTTAGTGTCCTGAAGGTAATGCAGGATTTATATCATCAACTGTATGGTTATCCGAAACCTCTCGCCTTAGGTTTTGGGGTTTAGGCTGTTCGTGTTTGAAGTTACGTAGATTGTCGGGCATGGGCTTGCTTCGTCCTTCCAGATACGCGGCTGCAGTGCACGGTGCTGGCTGCGGAGTGATGAGCCCACAAACCAATCAAGAAGCCTCATCCCAAACCGAGAAGTCCTGTCAAGCCTTTCGGGATACTGGCGCGAACCCGAAACCTCAAACAGTACATGAAGTGGGGCGGGCAAACTGCCAGCGCTCCTCTGCCAGCGACAGCGGCGCTCCCTCGGCAGACCTCAGGAAAAAAGGGCCTCAAGCTTTGAGCGTTACCGCTTAGGGTGCGGTCTTTTCTGGATCATGTCGGCTCTTTGCTCGTCCAGCGGTGCACTCGATTTTCTTATGAACTCCGGAGAAGGCGAGCTGGGAGGCACACGCGAAGGGGCATGCCGGGATCTGGCAGCGGCTCCGGGGCTTCGGGTTTTTAGGACTCCAGGATTTAGTGCCAAAGGACTGGACTCAGTGGGATTCCAGCTTTGAGCCCACGATTTTGGAAGGGGTCTTGGAAGCGCAAGGTTCCGAAATCCTCCGCAGAGTGAGGGTCTGACCACGAGCTCTAGGACCTTTTGGTTTGGGGGCCCAGCTGCACTTAAAGCATGTCCTGGCAGTTCTTGATTAGGTGCCCAGCGTCCCAAACCCGGCACATCAAACCACTTCAATATTGCACCACAACTACACCCCAAACCGGAGCCGGTTTGAATGAACAACTCTTTGAAAACCTCCTTCAAGCATGATCTGCTCAGCTAGCTCGCTCGACATGCCCAGGTTCCTTATCTCGCAGCAAGTTCACCCTCTACCCCAAAAAACGAAAACGGCCTGCGGAAGCGGAGAGTTGCTTGCCTTCCCAAGGATGGCTTTGGACTTTTACCTACGGGCCTCCATAGAGTTTGTTTGAATAGTGTTTTGGTGAGTTTTTGTTAACAGCTAAGGTATGCACACCTTATATGGACTATGAAGGGATGCCATTGCTAGCAAGTCGGGCCGCTGCAGAACCGGCTTCAGGATACGAGACAGCAAGCGGCCTGTGATTTACAGCTGCATCTGCTGAAGAAAGGGGCTTTGAGGCTCTGGGGCGATTCCATAGTTTAGCATGATGCTGGTCGACACGTTGGAGGGAATAGCTTCATTGGGAAAGAATGAAGAGCCAGGGACAACTCCTCTGGAGAATTGGGGTTGCACAGATATGTAGCGCTTAGGGCTTTTTTTGGGGCATAGGACCTAGAGCTTAGAATTCTCAGGAGCTCGGTCCAAGGGCTGCTGCCTGTGGAACCTCGCGCTGCTTCACCACAGGGATGTCCACAACCTTCTCTGTGGTCTCGATCACGTTGACCTGCAGAAATGTGGG